AAAGGGGCCGTTAGCAGAGAGATGCTACTATGAGTTAGTGAACAATTCTCATGACACAACACATTCTCACACCCTAAGCATCGAAAAATGCTGCAGGGTGACCAAGCGATTGTTTCCGATACGTCGGGAGCCCCAGCGCGTCGAAAGGCGACGCCCATGGTAAAACGATAAACCTTCCCCTCACCCTCATCCTGACCTTAATCCAATTTGTCAGTATAAATGTTCCGTTAACCATGGTTGAGAGGAACGATGAAACTCGAAACAAAACTAACCCTAACTACAACAGTCATGTTCATAAAAACATCTCCACACCTTTGACACTATCGATCACAACACCCTGATCTCCTGACTTTTTTCATGGGCTGTTATCACAGGGTCTGCCCTTGACTGGTTCAGGTTGTGTTTCTCCAAAAAGACCTTTAGAGTCATGCTGCATGAATTTTCTTCACAGTCAGTCTCCCTTCCCTGGGGGAGTCCCTCAAGGTTCCATCCTTGGACTGATACTGTTCTCCTTGTATATTCTGCCCTTAGGAGCCCTTTTCAGACAGCGTGCAGTTTCTTATCACCTATATGCAGATGAATGTCAAATCTACTTTTCTCTCAAACCAACCAACACCTCTAAACTTCTGCGTGATTGCCTTCTTAACATCAAAGAGTGGCTGTCTGAAACGTTTTCCATTGAAACGACTCCAAAACTGAGGTAATAGTTTTTAGAATGTTGGAGCTGCTTTGTCACCTGAACTCTCTCCTCTCATATGACCTTGACATTTTCCAATTTAGAAGTGAAAATGAACATGGCCTTAAAGATGAATGATCAGGTTAACAACACAGTAAAATCCTGTTTTTACCACCTCAGGCACTTTTACAAATTCAAGCCTTTTCTCAGTAAACGCCATCTGGAATCCGTGGTCCACGCTTTTCTTACATCTCGGCTTGACTATTCTAACTCATGCCTTTATGGCATTAGCAAAGCAGCTCTATCCAGACTCCAGCTGGTTCAGAATGCAGCAGCAAGGTTCTTGTCTTGAGCTAACAAAATACATCACATTACACCAGTTCTCCAATCCCTTCACTAGTTGTCAGTCCAATTTAGGATTCATTTTAAACGTTTCTTTTAGTTTTCAAGTCTCTGAATGGTCAAGCCCCTTCTTACCTGAGTGTGCTGCTCCACCGCTACCACCCTCCTCTTGCTCTGAGGTCTGAGGATCAGCTCCTCCTCATGGCTCCTAAGGCATGCTTGAAGTCCCGCGTTGAAAGGGCCTTCTCTGTTTGTGGATTGAAACTATGGAACTCTCTGCCCCTCCACGTTAGGCTGGCACCTTCAGCCCCAGCCTTGAAATCCCTACAGAAAACTCACCTTTTTCCCATGGCTGTTAACTTTTAAACCTGGTTTCAGTATCACGTCTATAGGTTTAACTCCATCCCACTGATTGCTTGATTGGTTTTTAATTGTATGTTTGGTTTTTTAGTTATTTAATTTTTAAACCTGGTTTAAAAACTAAAGTTCAGAAAGTGAAAATGGATGAAGATCTATTAATGCGAGGCTGAGGCCTTTCTTCAGCGCTAGCTCTGAAGTCATGTGGATGCTCATTAATTATACAGAAGTTTAGACTTTTAATACACTTAAACAGAAGAGTGAGAAAAAAATTCACCCCCCCCCCCCCCCCCCCCCCAGAGTTGTCATGAGTGTAAACTAGATAATTTAAACAAAAAACAGGTTTTTAAACCAGGCTGTAAACATGTTTATTTCTGCTGTAAAATCGGTATTTTTAACATGGGAGTCAATGAGGATTTGCTCACTTCTGACTCCAGCCCCCAGTGGATGAGGGTGGAACTGCATGTTTTTGCCACTTGTTTGTTTGCTTCATATCCAGAACCGAAATATGAGGGCTTGGTGCACCAGAGACAACAGCTCTAACCACCTCCACACCACAAACCCCCCAAACGGATCCAAATGGAACCTTACTGAGATCTATAAGGGCAGATCAACAGTAACAGAAATTCAAAATAGCTCGTCACAAAAACATACCCCAAACGGTGGCCAAAAACAACTTAATCCAATACATTCTCACTCCCGGCGCGTCAAAAACAAACGCTTGGTCAGCCACCCTCCACATCAGACCCCTGACGTCAAAAGTGCCCTTTTTCGTTACTTATGTGTGAAAAGGGGTTTTTCCCTTATTTGACTGCAGATCCCAATGCAGCGTAAAACTGACGCGATGGGATGTCCGCAGCCAGGGCACCAAACAAGCTCATTGTACCTCACCTTAACCTTATCCTCTTGTTATTTAACCTTCCCCTCACCCCTATCCTAACCTTAACCATCTTGCCAGCGAACACGTTAGTGATATGTCGATCGCTCTAAAAGCTGGCTCTATGAAGTGAATAGCGGGAGCCGCCTCGTCATTGGTCGAGTTTGGACCGAGCCAACGCGAGGGGGAGGTTTCAACTACCATGGTGGAGGTTAAAAGTAGAGGGTATTTGTACCCTCCCCCTCGCCAGATGGTATGTTCTAACGTTCCCCTTGGGTGGCAAATACGAAAATTGACAGTCAGACTCTGACTGTCAGAGTCAGAATGCACGGGAAACAAACGCTTGATCACAGTGAGAGTAACGTTTTAGGTAGCTAGAGGGTTAAGGGAGGGGAAGGTTATAAATATTCAAACGTTAAGGTTTAGGTGCAGTTAAACGAGCTGGTTTAGTGCCGCATCGGCTAAATGAGGGTTAAGGTTAGAATGAGGGTGAGGGGAAGGTTATAAATAGTGAAACGTTAAGGTTTAGGTGCGGTTAAATGAGCTGGTTTGGTGCCACATCAGCGGATATCTAATCACGTCACTTTTACGCTGCATTGGGATCTGCAGTTACAAAAGGGAAAAACCCCTTTTCGCACATAAGTAACGAAAAAGGGCACTTTTGGCGTCTGGGGTCTGACGTGGAGGGTGGCTGACCAAGCGTTTGATGATGGACTGAAGTGTAAAAAAAGTGTAATATGTTATGGTAACCAGGCTTCAACACAAGCTGTTGTTTTTCACTTAGTCCTAGTGCTGAATCTGTGTGTGTTTAATACCGTAATATTGTTTTTAGATGGTAAAAATTGCATGGCACAGAAATTTACTTTGGAAAATGTGGGGGCCCCCCTCCCCCCCCAAAAAAACTACGTCCATGCCTCTGACCAGAAAGGTTCAGGTCATTATTTTATCAGGATAAAAGAGCTGAATTCCATGCCTGCTTCATGTCAGACTATCTGTGTGTGGACGGGAGGTGTTAGCTGCTGGACAGACCTCCTCTCTCCAGTTGTTAGAGAGATTTTCTCATTTAATTCAAGTTTGCACGTAACTGTGTGTTATCATTTCTGTTGGAATTGTTACGTACACGGCACACTACTACACACTACTACACACTACTACACACTACTTCACACTACTACACACAACTACACACTACTTCACACTACTACACACTACTGTACACTACTACACACTACTACACACTACTTCACACTACTACACACTACTACACACTACTTCACACTACTACACACTACTGTACAATACTACACACTACTACACACTACTGTACACTACTACACACTACTGTACACTACTTCACACTACTACACACTACTACACACTACTACACACTACTACACACTACTTCACACTACTACACACTACTACACACAACTTCACACTACTAAACACTACTACACACTAAATGAAGTGGAAAAAAGCAGATGATATTCATCTTCGTAAATGTAAATTAACCAGTGAAATTAGCATCTGGTTTATACAGAAAAAATGTGTTTTATATTTAATAAACATGAAATCTATTTAAAACAAAGGGACAATATTGTGTTTATTAATTACTAATAAAATTTGGTTTACTTTGTCACTAGCTCAAATGATAAATGACCCACAGTTGTATAGCGCCTTTCACAGTTAGAGGACTCCAAAGCTTTTTACACTACAGCATAAATCCATCAATTCACACACACACACACACACACACACACACACACACACACACACACACACACACACACACACACACACACTGATGGTGTCCAAATACCTCATGAGACCCTGGATGTGTTTTAACTTTGTTTGCCTAAAAGTCAAATATACTTCTGATATTTTCTACACTTTCAGTTGTTTTAACCTAATTTTAATTATCGATTTATAGAATTGATCATATCTGTGTGTAACTTTGTTTATAATCTTCAATGTTCCAGGAATTTTAGGGTTTGTTCATAAAGGAACCACTCTAAATACCAATGATCAAAATAAACAAATAATAATAATAATGTATTATTATTATTATTATTATTATTATTATTATTATTATTATTGCCGGACATGAACCTAAATAAATTAATCTAGTCTTTTTTTCCCACCCATCGGCCCTCACTGCCGGCTAGCACACGCGCGTACACGCGCGCACACAGTCATGGAGGCTGTCACTGTGAGCCAGTCATCCTGTAATGGCTGCCACTGCTCATTGTTCACATTCTCTTTGTCTTCAGCGCCATTTTGACTACAGCTGCAGCTCGTTAGAGTCAGCTCACTCATAAAAGGCCAGCCACGCTGCCTCTCCTTATAGCAACTAAACAGTAAGAGCAGCAATCTGTTTGGTTCAAAAGACTCTAAATGTGAAGTTAGCTGATAGATGCTTCTATAAAAAATACCCGCTAGGAATAAAGCTCGTGGTGAACGGCCCGCTGCTCCCAATCAGTGCGACTAGATATTTAATTACTGATATTTTAACAAACCAAATAAAGTAACACTCACACGCATACAGCTGTGTGTGTGTGTGTGTGTGTGTGTGTGTGTGTGTGTGTGTGTGTGTGTGTGTGTGTGTGTGTGTGTGTGTGTGTGTGTGTGTGACAATTATTTATTTATTTATTAATCAAATTTTCTTAGAAACATCATTAGGGTGTTAATTAAATTAATGCTGAAGTTTTACGTAAAATACATTTCAGGCTACAATAAATAAGGGAAGCGTTTTAAATGTTTGTTCGTTTTTTATTATTATTATTATCATCCCACTATGAAAATATGTGTACAATAAATAATTTAATTTCACTAATAAAGAATCTGAATAAATAAACTCGGGTCTAGAGCGGGTGTGTTGTCCATCCGGGCTCTGAGAGGACACGGCAGCTCCGGGAGGGTTTCCCCTGAGCCGTCCGCACCGACACTCTGTGACCAGTTCCTGAGAAGGTTTAAGATCGTGGAGCTGCGCTAACAGACAAGAACAAGCAGTCCCGCTCGCTCTAAACGACGTTCCAACATTTATAAGTATAAACTTCAAATTCCATTTATACCAGAAATGTGCACTATTTCCTGTTTGGATGTGGCAGAAAGGAAAAAGAAAAATATCCGCAACGTTTCGGCAGGAGGTTAAAAAACTAAAAAACTAAAGGAGTATTCCTATCTGCGTGTGTCATCTATCTTCAGAGCAGTCTATCGTGGAGAAACTTTGAGTCTAAATTTTGTTTTCATTCATAAATCCTCCAGGAATGTTTCCGAGACAGACATGATCAGCCGAGTCCTCAGAAGTTCAGGTGCTGCAGGTCTATAGTGCACAGTGTGCTTGTGAAGAGGTCGAAGTCCTCCTCGGAGAAATCCACGGGGCTGTCGAGGGAGCTCTGCAGGCTCGGGGACAGGCAGGCGTCATCTCCAAATAGCGTGAGGTCGGGCAGCGCAGAGGAGGACCCGTGAGGATCAGAGGAGTCCCGCGACTCGGAGAACGGGCCCGACGCTGCAGCAGGCCCAGCCTCGCTGCGGCGCGTCAGAGCGCCGCTCTCCGTGGAGTGTGTCGGTGTGAACGGTGGGGAGCCTGAAGGCGCAGCAGCGTCGTCGGAGCCAGATGTCCCTAGCAGCAGTGGGCGTTCAGGGAGACTCACAAGGTCCGTCTCCTCTGGCTTGGGCTGTGCGCTGTCCCCGCAGTCAGCGGCACCGCCCCGCTGCTCACTCTCCGCGGTCTCCCCGGTGCCAGATGCTTCCAGCGGCTGGCTGGAATAGGGAGAGCACGCGTCGGCTCCTTCAAGGGGCTCAAAGCCGCTGGAAGACGGGCTGTCGTCCCGGTGGTGCGTGGTCTGACGCTTGTGTTTCATCCTCCGGTTCTGGAACCAGACTTTGACCTGTCGTTCCGTCAGGTCCAGCAGAGCTGCGATCTCCACTCTCCTGGGCCGACACAGGTACTTGTTGAAGTGGAACTCCTTCTCCAGCTCCAGCAACTGCGTGTTGGTGTAGGCGGTGCGCAGCCGGCGGGAGCCGGTTCCTCCAGAGTCCAGAGCCGCCGAGTCTACTCGGACACACACACACACACACACACACACACACACACACACACACACACACACACACACACACACACACACACACACAGAGAGATTATTAATAAATAAATTAACTGTAAAATATATATCATTTTTGATGTTTTCTCTCTTCATTTTTATAATTAATTTCAAATATTTAAACCACTGGATTTTTTTCTGCTTTTGTTGTGTGAAACAAAAGGCGCGTGCGCACGAGGCGGACTTCTCCCTCAGTAGCTGGCTGTAAAACAATAGACGAAGGATAAAAATAAATAATGTTTTTAAAGGACTGACAAATAAGCATGATAATGAAGGCCGATGTGAGGCTGGGGGGACAGAGGACCGTGTGGACACGAGTGTCCTGAAGCGCAGTGAGACCGGAGAGCAGCTGACGGGGCTTCTGGCGCAGAAGAAAAGGGTCAAACAAGAGAAATCATCGGAATCTCAGAAAGAGTTTAATCGGCGGCTGTACCGTTCATTTACCCAGCCCCCACACAACCATAAATACCCCCCACCCCCACCCCCGATTTTACTTCCCTACCCCCATACCGTTTCAGTTCGGTAAGGCACTAAACAGAACGGGGCCTGAATCGGTTTTTATCCGCGTGGTTTTTGCTCTCTAGTCTGAAAGATAACGCGCCACAAATGAACCTAATAAATCTGACTGCCTAAATGAGCGCGCGCCTGATGAAAGGTGTGTAAATGTGCAAAATGACTTCAGCGTAATGCGGTGGTCTGGACATGGCTCGCGCAAAATCTCAGCCCTGCACAACACGCGCGCGCACGCTCTAGCGCGACGCTCACACACCCAAATGCACAAACACTGATGGAGAGAACAAAGTGATGCAATGAGTAAAAACTGAATTTATCATTTTTAAACTTGTGATGCCAAAAGAATCCCCCCCACCCCCCACCCACCCACCCACACACACACACACACACACCACCCTCGCACCAGCATACCGACCTGTGGGTGATTCGATGGCCGTCGAGGGGTACCCAGAGGCGGTCGGTGAGGGGTAGGATGATGCCGGAGTGATGATGGATCCACCAGCACCAGAGCTGCCCCCAGGCTTCGGGCTCTTTTTGAATGACTTCTTCTCTTTCATCCAGGGGAACTCGGGTGCCAGAGGACCGACCGGCGTGACCGGAGAAGGGGCCTGGCCGGGCGGGCAGGGCTGGTGCGTCTGGTGGCCATTAGTGGCAGAGGTTCTCCGGTCTTGCTGGCTCCCAGAAGCCGGTTTCGGCTGGTTGGCTGTGCAGGGGCTGAGGCTGGGAATGGTGTGCTCGAAGGGAGGCGGAATTACTGTCGACTCCTTGATTGATGAAGTTTGAAATGACTCCAAGACGGCAGGAAAGGACGTCAGGCACTCTGCTAGGGACGGCTGGCTGTTTATAAACCCGATCTCCCTCTCAAATTCAAAATTCATAGCTTCCTCAAACCCGTTCCTCCCTCAAACGGCGAGACCCCGGAACAATCCCTTCCACAAAACATCAAATAAAAAATAAAGACTCATAGGCGCACGCGCGCACACGCACGTCACCCAGTGTGACTTTTCAAGAAAGAAAAAAACGTAATATAATACAAAACCCGCAAAAGCACGCAGCGTTTCGCCGCTACCGCATAGGCTAAAAGCGGTGGCTATATCATAATTGTGTATATTGGTTATATTAGTAGCGTATGGGGACCTGGGTAGGCTAAACTGAAGAGCTATGGGGCGAAATTGCAGCCAATTCCTCGTCATGTGACGCATTTTCAGCCAATCGTTGCCCAGGGCCTAGTGGCTCCGGTGTCTGTGGGAAGCGTGATTATTTCCCCCAAAAGCAGAGCCAAAGAGGCTATATCTGCTATTGTTCTGTCTTCAAGGGGAGGGGGAGAAACGACATGGCAGTCGGTGGCCATGTGCGCCGTGTGGGCGGTAGGTCGGCGCATCCCGGCCGGTGTGGGACTCCAACAATGCTCCCAGGCTCCCGGTGATGTCATGGTGCTAAACAGTAGGAGAATGGAGCCGAGCGGCTCCACTCTCAACATGCTTCCTCCTGGAAAAGAGGAATGCTGTTTACAGCTTCAGCTCATTAAACCCGAGTGTGCCAAAACCCGCAGTTTAGGCAGAGAGAGAGAGAGAGAGAGAGAGAGAGAGAGAGAGAGAGAGAGAGAGAGAGAGAGAGAGAGAGAGAGAGAGAGAGAGAGAGAGAGAGAGAGAGAGTAAACGGAGCTCAGGAAGAGAGGGAGGAGGTCTGGGCTGTAGCAGAGGAAAAACGGTCCCGTGTAAGTATTAACAGGTGTGTGTGTGTGTGTGTGTGTGTGTGTGCGTGCGTGCGTGTGTGTGTGTGTGTGTGTGTGTGTGTGTGTGTGTGTGTGTGCCAACTATGGTCTCACCTTAAAGTGGCCTCCTCTCACCGACCACCGTGGCGTCCTCACCATCATTCTCATCCGCGCGCCAGTGTTAAGAAAGGACGGCGCGCTCACACGCAGTGCGGGAGTTCACCCCGAGGTCGTGCCAGTAACTGCAGAGGGGAGCCGCAGGCGTCCTTTTTTCTACAGAACAATTAAGTCTTGCCCAGGTGCTGCAGGTGGAGTAACGCGGACCTGCAGGAGGCGC